AACTAGTATTTTACAGAATCAATGATCTGTGGAACAAAATCAATTATTCAAAATCTAATTGCAAGTTTACAATTAATAACAGTCTAATTTACATTAAAAAGAATATTGCTATGTATCTCTAAAATTATCTATACAAGTATTGATCATTGCTTAATATTACTAAGAAAGAAATGGAATGCTACTATCAACATGAAATTGATGAAGTACAGTAGTTCGCGTCTAATTCACATGGCCACTGGGACAGGAAAATCGAACAAGGGGCTAATCTATACTGGAGTGAAGTCCGCAGGTTGGGCTCTTTGTATTTAATTATTCTGTGTTATTTAACTATTGAATATTATAATGTTGTTACTCGTCACTACTTTTATATTTTTCTTAATTTTTATTTTCCCATATTCGGTGCTATGGACGGTAATAATTTATGGTGAATCGAAATATGGTGGTGGTGGTTATAGAGATGATGATGGTGAGTTTGATACTCTATTTTATGATGTGGGCAATTGTGATCCAATTTGGGTCAAAATCGAACTCGAAAAGTTAGTTCGATGGTCAGATTGTTCCCTAATCCAACTCATGCCCACTCCTAACCCTAAGTGGGAATGTGGGGAGGGAATACTTAATCCGAGAAGGAAAACAATAATTCCTAACCAACCAAAAANACTTTTTCATTGTTTAATAATTGATTTTGATTATTTAATTCTTTTTCACTTTAGTAGACTTTGAAAATCTTGCAACGGAAATATAATGGAAACAGCTGCGGGTTTAGTGGTCAATAATTACTTCCTAGATAAGATTAATACTTGTCTGCTAAAATATAAGCAAAATTAAGATAACCGAAAGTAGGGAATAGGGAGAAAGGTCCTTCGCCTTCCAGTGGGGTTTGTACTGAGATCTCCAATCTGGCCAGCTGCTTAGTGCAAGAATTTCCTGCATTATTAGACATCGATTAAAGATACAATGCCCAATTTGAAAGATGAATCTTCTATTGAATTTTGTATCGAAAATTGGTTTTGACGAATCTACAACCCGTCTTTTTAATTATGCCACGTTAATTTAAATAGGATTAAATTTATACTTTGTTAGGAGTTTATTATTTGATTAGGGTGAAAATTTATCATTTGTTCGGAGCTTAGGAATTAACAGTTTTAATTAGTTAAGCATTAGATTATAAGAGTTGCTGCGGCTAGCT